CTGCACCTGCAGGGTCTGGCGGACAGCTATGGTGCCAGCCTACACCTATAGCCTCTGCCAGCACCCTGCATGCTCCACCTCCACTGACAGGGTCTGGCCAACAGCTGCAGCCCCAGCCTCTAACTGCAGCCTCTGCCAGAACACTGTAGCCCCAGACAGCAGGATGCAGGTGGAGAAGGAGCCTCCAGATTGGGCAGTTAACTGTAGTTCCAACCTGCTGCACCTGAACCTTGCCCAGCCACCTTCTTTGAGCTTTGCCAACTGTCATCGTCCACCTATCATCTCTGTCCACCAGAAAACCAAAACTCTACCAATTACAACTAATTAAAATTTAACATGTTTGTAAAATTTTGATTTTTTTTCTCATGAGACAGTTTTAGTTTTTAGCTTTTTTCTTACACTTTGTTATCAGATATTTTTAATGAGGAAAGCTAAATGGCATGAGGAAGATACTGTGATGTAAATGTGTATATATGTAATAATTAATGCACTACATTGTAAGATGGACACCCTCTTCTCTTTGACATAAAGATTGCAAGTTGTTCAAACATAGCTATATTAATGATTGGTTTTAATGTGAAAGGCTCAGTTGCAGCAACAAACCAGCCAGTGTTAGGGTTTCAACAACAGTGGATGTTATTTAAAACCTTGAACCTTTAGTGTCGATCACTACAAAGTGACATACAGTATGTTAACATGTCTTCCTTACCTGTGGAGCCGTTTGCAACTGAGCTTTACTACACTAATCAAATTAACTTGTTTCAAAATGTTGTTGCCTTGTAAGTACACTTCTAAGCATAAATTGTATAAATAATTTTTTTGAAACATAATTTACTGATGTGGTTTATTTGAAAGTGGTTACAATTGTGCACAGTTGCTATTTTATTGTAGTGAATTATTATTTTGTGCTGTAGTAACCAAACACAATACATTTGATTTGAAGCTCTGTAGATGGGCAGGGAGCTGCACAGTGTAATGTCCCAGCTATTTCACTTCACTGGATGACACCAATGAAAATTTGTGAAGTACACAGAGCAAAGTCTGTCTTATATCTCTACTGTGGTGGATGAAGTACTTAGATTCTTTACTCAAGTAAAAGTACCAATACCACAGTGTAAAAATACTCTGTTACAAGTGGCCGTCCTGCATTCAAAATGTATTTACATAAAAGTACAAAAGTATTAGCATCATCAACTTCATCCTGAAGGTCGTGGAGGTTCATGTGTAGGCCCTCTAGCCTATATTGACACAGTAATTCATGGTCAGATAAACATAAGTGTTTGTGTTTAGGTGGCGCATACCACCAAACAAAATAAAAACGAAAATAAAGCATATGCTTAAAGATATCGTAGGCTATGGGCGGCTTTATGGTCTTGTTCATGTATAAAATCAGAAGTGTTTATACCACATTAGAAGCCCTGGGAATTTCGGGGCCTCCAATGCTGAGGAGCACTTGCTTGCTTTGTTCAGTTAAAATGCAATGGGATGTGAATCATCTTGACTGTAAAACTCTTTGGCCAGGCCGGTTCCATTCTGCCCCCTGCTGGGTAACATCTTGTACTGCACGGTCTAGTTCCTGGTTGATGTTAACACGCTTTAGGCGACTCTTGGTTCACCACGCAATATCAACTTTTGAAAGCATGGAATCAGTTGGTTCTTAGAGCGCCAAGGACACATTAAGCGAAAATAACATTGAAACTTAACTGTGTAGATTTTCGGTTTTGCCCAAGGCATGACTGTGTAGACTTCTGCTGGTTCGCTCACAGTAGCCTAGCCAGCTTTCAGTCGCCAGCTAAGCTAGCTAACTTGCTTGCTAGCTCAATTGCAATCCAAAATGACTGACTGCTGCGCCGCAGCGACCTGTGATTATCAGCAAGGGGAATCAACCACTGCACTTTTCAGCTTTCCTTTGGATCCAGAGCGGTAAGAGCTGTACTTCTCTTACTGAGCTTTCGATTAAACTGAGCCAAAGAGCAGGCAAAATGAACGCGGTAGCTATCCACTGTTAACACTGGCGTTAGCTTAACATCATGTTGGCTAACAGTGACACAACTCTGAAAATGGCGCAGACCAACGTTACTCTTGAAAGAAAAGTCCGTGTGAAATCTACTCCGTTCACTTATTCATGCTCGGAGACCTAGAATCACGTGTGATTTTTGACTCTACTTATTTATTTTTGCGTTCAGTCATTCAATAAAGCAAAAGAAAGATCAG